ACCTCTAGTCAAACACAAATGATACTGATATGTGGGTCCTACACTCAGAGATTCAGGTTAAACCTGCCTGTGATTGTGGTCTGGATAGTAGGATATTTAAAAGCTCCTAGATCATTCATGTGAACCTCTGGCTTAGTTCCTTTCCAGTTGAGGCAGTCAGAAGAGGACACAGCTGTTCTCCAACTGCTTCCCACCCAGCCAACCAGACCTGCCCCTGCGGAACAGAGGTGAGGCTCCATCATGAGCACTTGAGGTCTGATGGGCCCATCCTAGAGGCAGTTTCATTCAGGATGAGCTTTATTACAACAGATGATATTTAAGATGGGGAGAAGACTACTTGAAATGGTTCACATGGAATCAGTGGGCTAGCTAAAGCTTAACTGTGGGCAGGAAGAATTCCTAATTACTCTAGTGCAACTGATTATCAAAGTGAGGTTCTTAGACCAGCAGTATCAGCTTCATCTGGGAACTTATTAGAAATTCAAATTCTTGGGCTCTAACCCAGCCAAGTGATCAGAAACACTGGGGATGAGGCCCAATAATCTGTTTATTTTTTTAATTAATTAAATTTTGAAATAATTGTAGATTTATGGGCAATTATAAGAAATAATACAGAACAATCCCATCACCCTTTACTCAATTATCCCAATGGCAACAGCTTGCAAAACTACAGTCAGTATCACAGCCAGGATATTGAAATTGATATAGTCAAGTTAAAAATACAGAATATTCCCATCACTATAAGATCCCTCATGTTGCCCTTTTATAGCCACATCCACTTCCCTCTTGCCCTTACCCACTCTTTAACCCCAGGCACCACTGACCTGTTCTCTAATTCTATGATTTTATAATTCAACAATGTTATATAAACGGAATCGTACCGTGTATAACTTTTGGGGATTGGCTTTCTTCACTCAGTGTAATTCTCTGGAGAGTCATCCAAGTTGTTGTGTGAATCAATAGTTTGTTCTTTTGTATTGTTGAGCAGTATTCCACGATAGGGATGTGCCACAGTTTGTTTAACCATTCACCTATTGCAATCTTGTTTTAACAAGATATCCAGGTAATTCCGATGCGTGCTCATGTTTGAGAACCAATGATCTCTAGACAAAGAGCTTAAAAAAACAGGGAAGAAATATAGCACTTTTGTAATTCTACCTCCCACTCACTGACCACATGGGCCTTCTCAAAGGCACGAGGAAACAACGTTTTTTATTTCACCGCTGCTGTTAACACAGTACACTGTATCCTGCTTATCACTGCTGTGCACTTCTTAAGGGATGACATATTCATTCAATAAATATTTACTGTGGTACCTCCTAGTAACTGCTCTAAGCACTAGGAAGACAGCAGTGGAAAAGGTATACAGGTCTCATCTCACAAGTAGCTTTCACAACAGTGGGGCCAGAGGAGACAAGAAGCGGATAAAGACAGGTCCAAATAAATGCCAACTGCTTACAGCCCAAGAAACCGGATTTGGCCCTGATGAACAGATGTGAGGCTCCATCATGAGCACTTGGGGTCTGATGGGCATATCCAACTACAGGTTTGAAGGTACTAGTCATCACGGAAAGAAAGATTTTGTACTAAGGAACTTGAACTTTAGCTAAAGAAAGGAGATATTCAGGAAAATATTTATAATAGTAAAAACTCAGAGATACCCCAAATATTCAATAGTAGGGAAATACTTATGCAAATTGTGGTATACCCACTCTAGAACACTATGGAGTCATTAAATTTATGACTACTCAAACCAAGTAATACCATGGAAAATACCTGTATGTAACATTATATAGGAAAAATCAGGATACTGAATTATTTATACTATACAATTCGAACAACTGTTTACAAAGGAGGGAAGGTCAAACTTTAGACAAATGGATGAAAATGCTTTAGAAGAATATAACTCTAATTATGACTATCTTAGGAGAGTGAGTTCGTAAATACCTTCTTTTTTCTAATTCTCTAATTTTTACTAAATTTCATTATCTTTGAAGCTGTCTACATATACATAAACACTTAAAATATTAATAAATGTTGTTCACATTCTGATATGTTTGTGACTTTTGTATCTTTAGACTCAGGGAAGAAAAGCTATGAAGGCAATAGAGCCACTTTCCACAATATTGGTTTCTACAGATCAGGGTGGAGCAGGGTGACCATGGTGAAGAAAAAAGATTCTTCGGAGTCTTCCCAGGACACTAGTGCCTAGTTGTATTCATCTATCTGTACCACACGTTATAAAATGTATAGTCTACTAGTAGACCAAAGAGGAGTCTACTAGTATCTCCAGAAATTTTGAATAATATCACAACTCCCCTCCAAAATAAGAAAAAGCAGAAGGATGGCCAAGTGAGGGCCATGTCCCACAAATTCCTCTGCAATATCCTCTTAGTATACCACAGGAGTGGGTATATTCCTCTCAGTAACCATGGTAAAAATCAAAAAAGATTTACCAAAAATAGATGGAGAATGCCTGCTTAGACTTGTCCATGTTTGTGTCGTTCAAAATGTCTTTTAAGTCTCTTTATGCAGCTCTTTTTAAAAATTTTATCCACAACTAGAACTGACAACAATAATTTCAATATCAAAATCAATTTTGGGTGATCTGGGAAGACTGCATGACAATGTGATAACATCATAGCACCTTGGCTTTATTACCAAAGTTGAACTCATGGAGAGAGGAACCCAAGCCTAACAAAAGTTATGCTGCTGTGATGGTTAATTTTATGTGTCAAGAGGACTGGGCTAAGGAATGGCCAGATAAATAGTAAAATGTCACTTGTGGGTGTGTCTGTGAGGGTGTTTCTGGAAGAAATTAGCCTTTGAATCAGTAGACTGAGTAAAGAAGATTGCCCTCACCAATGTGGGCAGGCATCTTCCAATCTGTTGAGAGTCCAAATAGAATGAAAAAGGTGGAGGGAGGGCAAATTCTCTCTCTTCTTGAACTGGGACTTCCATCTTCTCCTCCTTCCCTCAGACATCAGAGCTCCTGGTACTTGGGCCTTCAAACTCTAAGACTTAGACCAATGGCCCCTCAGGTTCTCAGGCCTTTGACCTCAGACTGGGACTTAAACCATGGGCTCGTCTGGTTCTTAGGTGTTTGGACTCGGACTGAACTATACCACTGACTTTCCTGGTTCTCCAGATTGCAGATGGCATATTGTAGGACTTCTCAGCCTCCATAATCACACGAGACAATTCCCATAATAAATCTCCTCTTAAGTATCTATATATATCCTATTAGTTCTGTTTCTCTGGAGAACCCTGACTAACACAGCTGCCTACACGTACATATAGTTTTCCATGCTCAATAACAAACTTAAGAATCAGAAGATAATAAAGGAACACAGATTAGGAAATCTGAAAAAGAAAACATAAAAGTAATTCTTTAATTTCACCCTCAGCACTCAGAACAAAACAATACAGTTATATATTTATACCTTAACATATAAAATGATTCAAAATACACAGTAGGCTCATATTCTATCCTAGGCTGTGTGAGATGGGCAAAGACCAATAATCAAGGAACTTATTGAATATATGGACGCTGAATTACATGGAAGAGGCGGGGAAGGGGGCAAAGCAAAAGCTGATATTGGGTTTTGGCTAGGTGGGCCAGTCAGAAACCAAAGACTCTTTCAAGTCCTCAGATCTGCAAAATCTTCCTCCTGTGTTTCATAGGACACAAATCTCAGAGCTCTCCAGCTTCTGTTCCTAATCACTACTCTAATGCCTGCCCCTTCTCAGCCTGCCCTCCTTGCTCTGTCTGTACTACTAAGACTCAGAGTTCAGGAAATGGGAAGAATCATTCAAGTGACATTTGACTGGCTATAGACGTATATGAACGATAAGTAGTTTTAAACTTCTGTTCCTACAACCAGACTGCAGTGTAGATTTAGTTACAGATATTCTATTTGAACTCTGTAGTAGCTGTAGCAAAAATTATGAATAAAAGTAATAGCTAACATTTATTAATCACTTATGAATGCCAGTCACTGTCTTAAGTACTTCATAATACTTCAAGTGTCACAACTATCATAGGGTATTGATATCATTATCATCTCCATTTTATAAAGGAGGAAATTGAGATTTAGGAAAATTAATCAACTTGCTCCGAATCACAACAAGATATGGGATTACTACCTAGAAAGCCCTTGGAGAACTCTGATTGACACTGTCAAAAACTTCTCCTGATAATCAAACTAAGTTATCAACTCCCACGAAGAGAGGCCAGAAGTCTGTCTCAGTCCATGATGGTTTGACCAACTCAGGCTGGCATGGCACATGTCTCTTACCTAAAACTTGGGTGAAGATAAAATCAGAACCATAAAATGCAGAACATTATTAGACCCTATAAACCAGAGTTGGGGGCTAGATTTTACATATTCTTCTCTGTGTATACACAAGAGGGACAGATGTGTGTTTACATGTGTAAGAATGGGATAAACAGCAGGAAAGACAGTGCAAGCGTTATTCTGCCAGTGTCTAGCCATAGGGAACATGCTTCAACTTTGTGAAATGGAAATGGCTGTGCCCTTATGAAAGAAACACCAAACACTAAAAGTAAACTCAAGTCTAAACTCCATGTCAAGAACAAAATCTCAGCTGTTAAAAATAGTCTTCAGATTTGCAGAAAATTCTCCAAAACCTGTCAGAATGAACAGTAATAGTTGATTGGGACCACAGGGAGTTTGACATTCATTTTGGCAGTACCAGAAAATGTACAGCCACAAATGGAATTAATATGATGAGTGGCACAGTAACGCTTAAAGAGATTTAAAAAGAAGAAAGCAGCAATATCGATATTGCTACATATTCAACACTTGAACATTTTTTAGATATCAATTCCTAAAAACCCAGACAATGGTTATGAGTGGATGTACTCAAATATGAAGAAATAATATTGGTTTTTCTTATAATCACACATTCAGAGTCAGTTTGTTACTATGGAATCACATATGATGTCACAAATTTGACATTCTAAATGCAAACCTAGACTGAGCAACAGAAGCAACAGGAAATGGAGCTGGGGAGAGGAAAACCTGCATAACAACAAAAGAATTTCAAGAGTTAAGAAATGAGTCAAACATCTCTGAAACAGAAAAAGAAGGTGAGAGAACTGAACATACTAGAATCTTGCCACAGAGCTGAGTAAATGTAGTTATCAGTCTATCATTTACCTCTGGGAATGCTCTGCAACAATCAAATAATTTCAGATGATGACGACATGTAGAGAAAAGGGAGGGGAAGTAAAGGAAATGAAGGAGGTGGAGAAAAAGAGAATTAAAGCACATAGTATAAGCCAATCCAACAAGTAAGAATTTATTGACATATGCTCATATGTTATTGGTCAGAGATGAAAACACAGTTTGAGGAATGCATAGCATAGTAGGAAAGAGAATACATAAACAAAGTACAATTCAATACTCAGTAAAACTATGTGCAAAAGACAAAGGCAACACAGAGTAATGTGTAACTCTGGGAACTTCTCCCCGGCCACATTGAGCTGAGTTTTAAAGAAGATTACAGGGAAGAGGAGGTTACAAGAAAATAAGGGTAGTGTATAGGCAAATACAAGTCATTTGGCATCAGCAGAACATAGAGTTAAAGTGTAGAGTGGAGGGCAAGCAAGTTGGAGGTAGGAAGGATGTATCATGAGGCTCCTGGTCTCTCTAACCAAGTGAATGAAGAGCTTATCTAGAAATGAAGCATAAATTGATTTACATTTTATAAATGTCACTCTAAATAAATGGAGTGGATGGATCTAGAAGTTGGGGGATTTGAGGCCATGAAACCGGATCAAAAAGCTATATTCTAAGAATATAGGCCCATGATGATCTGAAGCTTGGAACAAGGGAACAATAATAGGGATGGAGAAGGGGGATTGAATTTAAAATATCTTTTGGAGTTAGAAGTGGCAAGATTTTATGGTGTGGGTGGTTGATGGAAGGATTTTAGGATTAGTTCTAGGACCACATAGCTACACCATTCCCTGCAGTCACATATTCAATCATCCAACTAACACCGATCAGATTTTTCCTGGGTGCAAGGCATAGAGCATAAAGAGACAGAACAGACTGCCCCGGAGCACCTTGGTCTGAGCTAGAAGTTGAGCTCCTTAAATAGATAAATACTACTAATCTTCATCGAATTGCAGCTACTGAATTAGCATGAAACAGTACAATTAGTGCTCCAATACAACAGTATTTCCTGCAGTTGAAAATGAAAACAAATAATTGAATAGGCATCCAGGAAGTGAGTTATCTTCTTGTGCCCTCTTCGTGGTCTTCCCTATTAGTCTGTTAATAAGAAACGTCTTTTCACTCTAGATGCTATGAGTAATTAGAAAATATCAATAGAAAACATGCCTGTCAATAGATCTGTACAGGATTAAAGTCCTTGATTTTAAAAATCAGAGTAATATTTGTGAGTCTTAGATCCACAGACAATCAGAGTTAGAGTTTATTAAGAAAACAAACAAGAGAAGTTTCAATTCTACATGGCAAAAGACAAAGTTCTATAAGTAGGAATCTTCAGAGTAAAGGAGAAAAAAAAGTTATATTGTTGAGCAATTCCACATTTAAATCTAAGTTGTGTTGACCCTTGGAAAATTCTCCCATAGCATTTCCCATATTATTTTTTAAGTGATAAATGCCTCATGCCTCAAATCTATAAGCGAATAAATTTCTATATTAAAAATTTATTGATATAGTTCCCTGATATGTGTTATTTTTACTCATGCTTGTTATAATAGGGGTAAAATAATGTCTAAAATTTATGTATTTTTTGATATTCGCAAAAACACAAAACCTAATTTTTATTTATCCTTTTATTCCCAAACCCAAGGTTTTAATGCCCTTGAGATTAAAAGTTAATAAACACTCTTTATTTTCATATTAAGAATGAAACTGGATCGAGATATTCAAAAGACAGTCTGGAAGCAGAGAAAAGAAGGGATTCTGAGAAGTCGGGAGTTCGTCTGAGCACGCAGGTGAGCTGACCTCTTTAGAGTCGGTGAGAGAATTAAAGAGCAGAAAGTATAATAGAAAATATCAGGGGGCAAGGGAGTTCTGGGAGAGAAGACTGAGCTGTCCAGATTCATATTAAAGGATAAACAATGTCCTTATGGAGAAGTTAAGGAAAAAGTGGGAGAAGCTGGTCCCTGCTTCCCCCTCCAGCACACATCCCCGTGTTCACATAGAATATATGGTGTAGATACCTCAGCCACTTCCTCTGCTCAGCCTAGGGGAAGAGACTGCTCTTTGTTCAAATCAGGGAGGGATGGGGAGTTTGGCCATGGCATTGACTATTTTCTGCACAATCTTTCAGATGAGGCGTGCAGTCAATCCGAATCACTCGCTGAGATGTTGCGCCATGCGGTGTCACCCATCGTGTAGACACTGCCTTAGTGCAGCTGAGGGAACAGTACTCCTTGGCCCCTGCCGCACAATACGTATTTATATTCACATGTGCCTGTTGTGGGAGCAGGGCCGGCAGATCACCATGATCAGGGTGAGCAGAGATCAAACTACCTCTTTGAAGGGAAGCCACAGGCAATCTGGGTGAGGGGAAGGATACGGGGAATAGACACTCTTCCACTTGCCTCTCCATGGTCTCCTCCATTCTTGTTCCTCCTGAATGGAGTGCTGGAGGGCTCTAGTCCCTCTTATGCGGCTGTCTTGGAGCCCTGCTGCAGCCTTGGTTAGGTACCAGCTGCCCTCATCTTTGTAGTCTGGTCACAAATAGTGGCTATGTCTTTTTAGCAGCTCCTAACAGGCTTATCCTCAAGGGAAGAAGGGGAAAAGGGAGGAAAAATGGTCAGCTCTACTAAGTTCCATATAAGAGGAGTCACGGGTGAAAAAGCATGAGATATCAGATTTGTTTCTTGGATTTGGATGCTCTCCTGGGTGGATCTCCACTTCATTGCTCCTCATAGAAGTTAGGATTGGGCCACAGCTAAAATAGTATGCAAGTGCCAAGGTTGAATTAAGTGTCATAGAGGCCAGGGACCTTCTCACTGTGTGTTGCTATGTTTAGCTAGACATGGCTATTCTGTAGGCACATGCAGGAAAGGAGTGGGTGATGGGGTATTACACCCATGGGTCTCTTCTCTCCTTGAAAGGGATCACAAGAAATATCAGCGCCGAAGACAGACTCTCGAGGGTACCTCGTACGAAATCAGTGGTCCCGAACTTCACGGAGCCCATCCACCAAAGCCCCAACAGTAGATGAGACCAGAAGCAAGACAGCCAGTCTTAAGGTAGAGATGAAGATGAAAGGGAGGAGTATATGATAAAAAATGATAATAATAATAATAATAACGGTTCACATTTATTGATGTTTTCTACGTGTCAGGCCCTGTTCTACATACTTTATGTGTTTTAGCTAATTTAGTCCTCACAAAAATGCCCCTATAAGCCCCGTTTTATAGTTGAGAAAATTGCAACACAGAGTAACTTGCCTAAGATTTCACATTAATAATGCTCATAGAGTTGGATTAAAACCCAGGGTCTCTGGGTCTATAAACTGCATACTTAATTATTAAACTCTATGGTTTCTCTTTCCTTCCTTCATTCATTCAACAACTATTTATTGAGTACTCAAGACTCAGAAGAGGAGGTGGAAAGGTCAATAAAGGAGGTAAATTGTTGAAGAGTGTTAGATTGTGTGGTACTTTGGGCCCTTAGCTAGGCCTGGCCAGATAAGAAGAAAAAGTTTGAGATTAAGTTTTTGGATGCAGACAGAATGACACAGATCCAGCCACTGGGAGAACAGGTATTCCTACCAATCCATCTATCTCTGTGAGGAGTGGCTCAGTAATCTAATCAAGAACATATCTTTTGAAACTTATGAAACAATCATAAAAAGTGAAATAATATGTAGATGCTTAATAACTTATTGCACATCTCAGGAAATGAGTCCTTTCTCTAGAATGATTCCTTCCTCTTTCGGAAGATGATTCTCTCCACTTGAGCTCCACTGGCACAGGAAGCTCTGAAGGTGATGGGGACAGCTTTCCAACCTTACCAGCAACCATTGCAGTAATCACAGGGCAGGTGTGGAGAGGGATGTGCCCGAGGTTCTTTGTAGAATCTTCTGGTGGGAACATCTGGTCTAGTTGCTCATGGAGTTAACTGGAGGTCACAGATGGAGGCAGTGGCAAGCAAGGTCCCTTGCTCAAGCCCTGTGTCCTACCTGGCGGTCTCTGACTGAGCAGGTATATGGGAAGCAAGTGACAGAACTTTGCAAACTATGTGCCAGCTGCCTAAGGCCAAGGAAGAGGACCTGTGCCCTATCCACTCAAGAAAAAAAAAAAGTGTGAGGTGCTGATGGGGGAGCTATGGGAAAATGAACGCAGACTACCTCTGTGTCCACTTAACAGAAATAGTTAACATCTGGAGCCCTGAAATGTCTGAGCCCCTTTAAGCCTACTTTAAAGGAGCTGAGATGAACGAGGACCTAGGAATGGAACAGAGGGAAGAGGACAGTTCCTTGACTCCATCCAGCTTGGCAGAGATGAGGGTCCTAGGCGAGCATTTAACTCACACGCCTACTTTCTTGCTCCAGCTCCCCAATAGCTCCGCGACCTCCGGGACTTCCTCCACCTCCCTTAGCCAGCAAGAGTTGCCTCAGCAGCTGATGGCGCAGCCCTCACCGCCCACGCCGCCCACGCCGCCCAAGCCTCCCAACCCGAGTCCTGCCACGCCCCCGGAGATCCAGCCCAAGACCGGGGCCCGGCGCACCAGCAAGATGTATGAGAATCCCGAAGCCTGGGCTCACGGCATCGTGCGGGACATCCGCGACTCCCGGGACACGCCGCAGTCCCGGGAATATCCGCGCACGCCTCCCACCGAATGGAAGTCCTATGCTCAGCGCAGGGCGCTCTACTCCTCCCAGCTGGACCACGACTGTGTGACAGATCTGCCCCGGCGGCGGGAGGAAGAGGAGGACGAGGACGAAGCCTACTGGGCATCCGTGAGGACGCTGTACGAGAAGACCGCGAGCTGCTCGCGCCCCAAGCCGGTGAGCAGGACCCACCACCCACGGTACCTCGGGTGCCCCTCCTGGCAGCCTCGCAGCAGGATCCTCTCCCAGCCTCCCTCCTCTCCATGGCGTAGAGAAGTCCCTCCCAGCCCTCTGCTTGTCCTCCCCAAACCTCCCCCTGCAGCCTCGTGGGGGGTCCCAGCTCTTGGCTGTCTAGAGCATGCCAGTGCTCCAAGCAGGGGCCAAACTGTTTTCCTGCCCCTCTGCCTGGAGATGAGCCCTATTCCTGTTTCCTTCGGGTCTGTGTGACTGTCCTCCCGTTGGTGCCCCTCTCTGCAGCCCAAACCCAAACATGCCATCACCATCGCTGTGTCATCCCGGGCGCTATTCAACATGGTGGACGACAGGAAAATCTACGAAGAAGAGGGTCTGGAAAAGTATATGGAGTATCAGCTCACCAACGAGAACGTCATCCTGACCCCAGGGCCCGCGTTCCGCTTTGTCAAGGTACTCTGCAAAGCTGTCTTTGGCCTGCCAGGACTCTGGATGGCGAGGGAAGGACCCAGGCCGACCCTTGGGATGTCATCCAGGTTCCCTTATAATTCCTAGTCCACCCTCGTCATTCTTTTGAGGTTGACCCTGGGTCAGTTTATGCTTTCACGGTGGTGTCCAGACTGTTAGGAAGGGACTCCAGCATACAGCCCTAGATTTGGGATGTTGAGCTTACCTAAGTGGAGTCCTAATCATGAGACCTGATACAGAAACCTTTGTTCCCCCCCTAGAAGGAGCAGTAAGACGGAATAACGAGTTTACAATTCCAAGCAGTAGAAATAAAACGCCTCATCAAAATGATATGAAATTCACTTTAGCTGCTCTTGCCCCAAACACAGAATATTAAGAAAATCAAGAAGCTCTTGGCACTTAGGGGAGTGATTTTAATAAAGTAAGGTTCTCTGAACTTCTACGGAAATGCATAGCACTTAAAACTCTGATCCCCTATACAACTAATACAAATATTACGCAATAACATCATAACCAGGTAGAAACAAATGACACCTCCACAAGTTGTGAGTAGAAAGTGCTTACAGGGCATGGTAGAAGCATGGGAGGAAATCACAAACCTAGTCTAAAGACTCATGTTTAAAAAACAGACCAAGTGCTCACTTTGGCAGCACATATACTAAAATAGGAACAATACAGAGACCATTAGCATGGATATCCTTCTGCGCAAGGATAAAATGCAGATTCATGAAGGAGTCTATATTTTTTACAATAAAAAAATAATCACCAGATGATCAAGAAAGGCAGATTTCTTGAGTCAAAAAAAAAAAAATAGACAAAGCATAAAAGAGTTAACCTGAGCCTTCTCTCTGCCTACCCCACAGAGATAATTCTAGTAAACCAAATGTTGTACAGTCTTCAACAAACGTGACCCGTGTATTCAGTAAACATTAACTGAGGTCTTGTGTATGAGAGGCTGAAAATACAGAAATGAATGGCATAACCCTGCCTTTAAGGAGCTATACTCTTTCAGTAAAGAGTCTTCAGAACTTGAATTTGATATGATAAGATCATTTCCCTCCAGACTCCTAGTGCCCACCTTGCCTGGCTCTCCTGACACACACTGGTGTTTGTAACCTACAGGCACTGCAGCATGTCAACACTAGACTCCGAGAGCTGTATCCTGATGAACAGGACTTATTTGATATTGTGCTGATGACTAATAACCATGCCCAAGTGGGAGTGCGTCTTATAAATAGCGTCAATCACTATGGTAAGTAAAATAAATACCATGTGGGTGAACAGCTCGCTGCTCTGGAAGAGAGAAGCCATGTTATTTTGCTAACTGCGGCCTAACTAACGCAATGTCTTTGATACTGACACCCTCTTCTGCGTGAGGAATGTTTATTTGCCTATGTCAGAACAAGAGAGGCCATGTTCATTTTTAACTTCAGCACAAAGTTGGGCCCAAAGCTCTGGACTTAACTTGTCAAGTGTGAGTTTCAAAGTCTTAATCCCAGGTCCTGCAATATATTTCTCTGTTTTATGTTTTTCACTTCTGAACTTGACTTCAAGGAGCCGTCGACCCAGAGGCTTTCTCTGTGTGATCAAACTTCTCGCTCACCACAGGTACATGGTAAAGGTTTAAAGGTTTTCACCTTTCCTTTCCACTCTTAAAATCTGATTCTCCCTGGCTGCTGTCCCCACACATCAAATCCATACTCATGCCAGCAAAATTCTTTATTCCTTTACATGGAAAATTTGATTGATTCTAGCCTCTTCCTAGCATTTCCATCAGTGTTTTGGAGACTTTAAGAGAAAGTCCTCATTTTTCCTGTTGTGGAATTACCTGACTTTATTTGGGGACCTTTAGCCTATTTTCTAAGCAACATATCCAGTCTTATGAGTATGTCAAGTCAAAAGAAGGTTTAAATTTGGCATATTTAAATTCTAGGTTTAAATTGGGCATACTTATAAATAGTCAAGATATATTACAAGTTATGAGTTCTGTATTATATTATCTTAATTATAAGGCTGATGTCTTACTGAGACGTACTTTAAAAAATGTTTGCCTTTCAAACATGCAGCCTTCATATTGTTATGACATGAAAAGAGAGAAGGTATAAAAGGTTTAGCATAGATGAGTGGCGTAGAGTAACTACTCAATAAATAGCAGCTATAATTTTTACAACACATACTCATTTCATTTAGTAGGTGATTTAGGTCTATCTGTCCTCACCATAGTGAGCCCATCAAGGCTAGTATCATAAGGAATCATAGTTATTTACCTATTAATTCTGCTAATGAATGAATTGAGCCCAGTCTTCTTCTTATGCAGCCTTATTCATGGAATAACAACCTTTCACCTAGAAAAGTTAGTTACTTCTCTTCTCTGGGTGCCGAAGGCAATTTGTATCTCTCTCTGCTATGGTTTTTGTTATCTTATAATTATCTATTTACATGCCTAGCTCCTCAGTGAACTGTGATCTCCTTGAGAAAGAGGGACAAGTTTTAATCATTTCTGAAGACCCCAGTGCCACCAAATAATCGCCGATCATTAAATTAATATTATTTAAAGATTTGTAGAGTACACTTTTGTGCCACTTATGCCCAATGTTGAATTAAGCGAAAAAGTGGGAGTATTCTGTTAATACCACAGCAAACACTTACACCTCAACTGTCACTGGACCCTATCTACTCTCTTGGTCCATGCAGATGATAAACAACTGAATAGACTCAAAATCTTACTTTATATCGTCTGCATCTATTCAGATATGTGATAACATATGTCTAAAAACATTCTGAGTGGGTACATAATCTTATATGCGTAATGTTATACTTTATTCTCACATTGTTGAACAATGTTTTACTTTTATAAATACTCCTGCATGGACACCTTTCTACGTAAATCTGTATCAGAATTTCAGATTATTCTGTTAGAATAAACTCCTAAAAAAAAAGGAATGCTAGGTCAAAATGTACAAACCTGTTAAATGCTTTTGATACCTATTGTTGTCAAATTATTTACTAGATAGCTTGTACCAAGTAATGCTTTCATCCATAGTCTATGGGATGCCTATTTTACAAGCCTCTCGCCAACATCTAGTGTTGTTTTTTAATTGTTGCTGATTTGACAGGGATTTAATGGTATATTAATGTTTAGTCTGCTATTAATTGCATTTAAAATTTCAGGTCAGGAAAGAGACAATTTCAGACCTTTCATTGTTGTTTTTAGAAAATAGTTTAAATCCTAATACTACCTATTATTACTATTGCATTGTTACTGAAGAAATACGGAAATGGTACTTAAAATAGAGCCACACATTAACTGGCCTTTTTAACAAGTGAGGAGGCTCTTTTGAAGGAAAAAAGCACTGTTCTAGCCTAGACAAGAGTCAACGTGAACCAGCAGGCTTAGACAAGTGTTTATGTCTCAGTTTCTTTTTCTGTCCTGAGGATAATTACGCCTGCCATAGAGTCGTTGTGAAAGTAAATTGTCATGGTCCGTGTGGATGTACTTCATGAACTATCATGCACCAAACACATCCACCATTATAAAATAGCTGAGACATTTTTCAATACTGGTGCTATGAAGGTCATTCTGAAACCTCAATAGGCACTCAGTTATTCCTAAGATAACTTTCATTTGCATTTACAGTAAGTATATTGTCTTTAGTCTCTGACATAACAGTCTTTCTTGCCTGATAATAGGCTTACTAATTGACCGCTTCTGTCTGACTGGTGGAAAAAGCCCCATTGGCTATTTGAAGGCATATCTTACCAACTTATATCTTTCTGCGGATTCTGAAAAAGTACAAGAAGCAATACAAGAAGGTATTGGTTTGGTTTTATCCCTCTAGTTAATAAAGAGGTTTGTGCTAGTGGTTCCTTCCATTGGGCTTCACGTCTGATTGTGGTTTATGTGCTTGTTGGATTTTCTGCTAAGGTGTTTCCTCAGTGGCAGGCCTTAAGTTCGTCTTGTAGAGCTTTGACCTTCCTAAGGTGGGCATCCTCAGTGATTGTCCTACAACCCATTTCACACTTTCCCATCTGTTATAGAAACGGATGTAGCGTGTAGACAACTTTTCCGAGATGTGTGGTTGTGATGAGGAGTTGAGTCATCAGGTAATAGCTAGAGAGGAAATGCAAGGTCTGGGAGGACTTTTTTTAATGGTAGAAACTAAAATTCATGGCCCTGAGAAGAGTATTAATCAATCCCCATGGTGTGCCAGGAATTGCCTCTGCAACGATGTTTGATGGAGCCAAAGACATAGCTTACTGTGACACACAGCTCCGCGTGGCCTTTGATGGGGATGCTGTCCTCTTCTCTGACGAGTCCGAACACATTGCCAAGGAGCACGGGCTGGACAAATTCTTTCAACATGAAACACTATTTGAGAATAAGCCTCTTGCTCAGGTAGGTTCAATAGGCTCTAGTTAATTTTCATCTACTTATTTTCCAACATATAGATGTAAATATTTGTTCACTGTGATGGCCTTTAAATTATCTTAGGCAGGCCACACCTCACTTTTCATCCTTTGCAGTTTTCTCCCTTTCTTTTGTGAACTCCTCATTTTGAAGCATCTGCTGCTGTTTTTTTTTTAGTTTTAACATTCTTTTATCTGTCCTTTTGGAAATGTTTCTATGATCTTCTCGTGTTAATGAGTTCACCTCCTCCAAATTATTAGTAACAGAGGTAATACAGCTTACCGATAAGCCATTTCTACACAATAGGTTCTCAAAATAGTAACAGTCATTTCCAATAGGTTAATAAACATTTGTTGAACCTCTCTGTCCATACCCTCAAACTCCATAAAAGAATCACTTAATTGAGAAAATCTGCAAAACTGAGAGCTTGAATTGAATCAAATAATGAACCACAAACAAGTGCAAACTATGAACATCTAATCAAACTGAAACTGAATATTTAAATTTGGAATCAATCCATGAACAGAAGTGTTCAAGTCACGGTCTAAAGTGAACAAAACATACAGCTTCTGAACCAAAGGAAATTTGAAACATCAAAACATTCTCCAAACTGAATTGGAACTGATGGATCATTCAGTTTTAATCTATGAGTCTTAGCAACAAATTTAATTGGCCTTTTTTTCCTCAGCTCTTCTTGAACGTAAGATAAACTTATATAGGTAGTGTTGTTATTTTTTATTAAATTTATGAAAGTATGAATAGGCTAGTTGAAGGCTGGAAAGTTTTACTAACTCACCTCATGGTTGTATGTGTATGTGTGCATGTATGTGTTTAACTTAATAGTCCCTTCCTAAATAGCTTCTTTGGAAGCCTTGATCTCATGTTATGAAGTTGTTCAGTATTAACAAAGTTTACTATTGAGAGGAAAATCCTTTGTTATATTTTACATAAGTCTGCTTTGCTGAAATTCGGAGCTCATTGTATATTATTAGCCTTTAACTATTATTGAAATGTGGAAGATCTCCAAAAAAAGAACATTAAAAAAAAAATTCAAGGGGGAGCTGGCCTGGTGGCATAGTGGTTAAATTTGCGCACTCTGCTTCAGCAGCATGGGGTTCACAGGTTCAGATCCTGGGTGCGGCCCGACACAACACTCATCAAGCCATGCTGTGGCAGCGTCCCACATATAAAATAGAGGAAGATGGGCACAGATGTTAGTTCAGAGCCAATTTTCCTAAGCAAAAAGAGGAAGATTGGCAATGGATGTTAGCTCAAGGCAAATCTTCCTCAGCAAAAAAAAAAAAGAAAGAAAAATTCAAGGGGCTGTCCCCGTGGCCTAGTGGTTAAGTTTGGCACATTCCTCTTCGGCATCCTGGGTTCAGTTCCTGGGCACAGACCTAACACCACTCGGTGGCGGCGATGCTGTGGTGGCAACCCACATACAAAATAGAGGAGGACTGACACAGATGTTAGCTCAGGGCAAATCTTCCTCAAGCAAAAAGAGAAAGATTGGCAACAGATGTTAGCTCAAAGTGAATCTTTCTCAGGAAAAAAAAAAAATCAAAAGAGGAATTACTTCAAGATAATCTTCAAATACCATTTTCTCATCTCATCATCTAAATAATCCAAATTTCTTTTAGATTTTGCATTTATGAGTTCTTTTTTCTATGTTTTAAATCATTTTATTTTCCCATTAAACAATTGCAGTTTTGAAGCCAACACCAGTCATTGCAGGAATACTCTACAAACTTCTACTAAGCATACTTGTTTTCATTATGCAGTCCTTCTGGCAGCAGATAAAAATGTTTTTTCACATAAAAAGGGTAGCTTTCCTATAAAGACCAGGCTTTGCCACGTGTTCCACTGATGAGAAGTTATGAGGTAAAATTCCTACCTAAGGCTTTCAAATATGTTGGTCATGGGGCTTGTGATTTGGTCATGATAGTGTCCTAATTGTCTTAGATGGAGGAGATATGAGAGTCACCAGTAAAAGGAACAGCCATAGAGGAGTAATTTGACACTCGCAGTGTAGCCTCCAGTGTGGTACTAGGACTAGTAATGGATGTCTCCTGATTGGATCTCTACCTCATCTTGACATTTTGGAATAGTGTATCTGTGTGTATGTGTATGTGTGTGCCTATGTTTTCATCAGAGTTGCTGAGGTATAATTAACATACAGTAAAATTCATCCTTTTTAGTGAATGGTTCTAAGAGTTTTGAGAAATACATACAGTTGTAAAACCACAGCCAAACTCAAAATACTCAGCTTACTCACAAAATTCCCTCATCCCTCTTTGTAGTCATCCTCAATCCCTATCTCCAGGATCTGTCAACCACTAATCTGATTTCTGCCCCTATAGTTTTGCCTTTCCCAGATGTGATATAAATGGAGCCACACAGGATACGATCATTTGAATCTGACTGTTTTTATTTAGCATAATGCCTTTGAAATTCATCCATGTCATTCCATGTATCAGTAGTTCATTCCTTTTTATTGCTGAGTAGTGTTCTGTTCTATGGATGTACCACATTTTCTTTCTCCATTTACCTCTAGAAAAATATTTAGGTCATTTCTAGTTTTTGGCATTTATAAATCACTATAAAGCATTGGCATACAGGGTTCTGTGTAAACATAAGATCTCATTTCTCTTGGGTAAATACTTAGAAATGGGATTACTAGGTCACATGGTAACTATATGTTTAACTTTATAAGATACTGCCAAACAATTTTCCAAAGTGACCTTACCACTTTGTATTCCCAATGGCCCTAGATGAGAGATTTTGTTGCTCTGCATCCTTGCCAGTATTTGATAGTGTCAGTTGTTGATTTGTTTTAAGCTATTCTAGTGGTCATATAATGGTATCTCATTGTGGTTTTAATCTGCATTTCCAATGACAAGTGGTACTGAGCATCTTATCAGGTACTTATTTGCCATCGGGTTGTTTGGTTTTTTTATTATTGAAGTTTGAGAATTCCTTATATATTCTGGATAAAAGTCCTTTATCAGATATGTGTTTGCAAATATTTTCTCTCAGTCTGTGCTTATCTTTTCAGTCTCTTAACATCTTTCAGCGTCTTTCAATGAGCAGAAATTTATAATTTTGGTGAAGTGTAATTTATCAATTTGTTCTTGTTCCAATTGTGCTTTTGATGTAATATCTAAGAATTCTTTGCCTAAAACCAGAAGTTACAAAAATTTCCTCTTTTATTTTTGTACAGAGGTTTTATAATTTTAGGTTTTATTTTTTTAAGATTATGACCTATTTTGAATTTATTTTTGTATTTGTGCAAAGTATTGGTTAAGATTCATTTTTACTGCGTATGTATATCCTAATTGTTCCAGCACTATCTGTGGAAAATACTGGCTTTCTGTTCCTTTAATATAGATATTTAACCCTTTACCAATATCACACTGTCTTGAGTATCACAGTTTTATAATAAGTCTTGAGATCAGGTGATGGGAGACCTCCAGATTTGTTATTTTTCAAAAATTTTTTGGATGTTCTGATTCCTTTGCATTTTCATGTAGATTTAATAATTAGCTTTTCCATTTCTGGAAAAAAGAATCCTGCTGCAATTTTGATTGTGATTATGTTTGTTGAATTTATAGCTTAATCTTGAGAGAATAGATATCTTAACAATATCAAGTCTTTCAGTCCTTGGACATGGGGATATCTCTTCATGTATTTAGGTCATCTTTGATTTTTTCCATCAATGTTCTCTTGATTTCAGCATACAAATATCACACGTATTTTATTAGGTTTATACTTAAGTATTTCATAATTTTTGGTGCTATTGTAAATAATACTTTAAAAATTTTAATTTCCAAATTGTTTATTGCAAATATGCAGAAACACAACTGGTTTTTGTATATTGACCTTGTATCCTGCATTTTGTTAAAGTCACTTGTTAGTTATAGTAAAATTTTTGTAGATTATTTGAGATTTTCTATGTAGACAATGTTGACTATAAATAAAAACACTTTTATTTCTATGTTTCTATTCTGTATATCTTTTAATCTTTCTTGCCTTATTACTGCTGGTAGTACCTTTAGTACAATGTTCAGTAAGAGTGATAAGAGTGGACATCCTTGCCTTGTTCCCTGATCTTAGGTGGAGATCATTCAGTCTTTAACTCTGAATTATATTATCTGTGGGTTTTTTGAAGATGCCCTTTGTCAGATTAAAAGAGTCGCCTTCTATTCCTAGTTTTTTGAGAGCTTTTATAATACATATATGTTGAATTTTGTCAAATGCCTTTTCTGCATCAATTGAGAAAATCATGTAGCTTCTCTAGTCTGTTGATATATAAATTATCTTAAAGGATTTTAAAATGTTGAAGCATCTTTATATTACTAGTATAAGTTCAACTTGGCCATGTTGTATTACCCTTTTTTTATAGCACTGGATCCAATTCGTTAAAATTTAGTTTAGAAATTTTTTTTCTTTATGTTCCTGAGGAGTATAAGTCTATAGTGTTCTTTTCTTGTAATATCTTACAGAGTAATGCTGACCTCATAAAACAAGGGGGAAGTATTTTCCCCCTGTCTATTTTCTGGAAGACTTTGTGTAGAGTTGGTATTATTTCTTCTTTAAATGTGTGGTAGAATTATCCGAGAAGCCATCTGGGCTTGGGCTTGTCTATGTAGCAAGGCCTTTAACTAACAATTCAATTATTTTCATTAGATACAAAACTACTATTCCGATTTTCTTTCTTCTCCTTCCTTTTCTGGATGTTTATTAGTTTGTGTCTTTCAAGGAATTTGTCTATTTCATTTAAGTCATTGAATACATGGGCATAAAGTTTTTCATATTTTCTTATTATGCTTTTACTATTTTTAATGATGTATCCCTTTTCCATTCCTGGTATTAGTAATATTTGTCTTCTCTTTTGTTTTTCTTTCCCCCTTGTTCAATCTGGCTAGACTTTAACAATTTTATTTATCTTTTCAACAACCAGCTCTTCCTAAGTTTATAAAGGTGGAAGT